TTTCCAACCATAATGATTCTATGATTCAAATAGAATCAGGCAGTAAGTACCGCATGGACCTGTTCTGGATGTAATACTATTTGATTCTCTCAATATCTACAAATATATCAGACAGGAATATAAATTCAAAATGCTTTCAACTACTAGCTTTAGAAAGGATTATATCCAAGAGTAGTAATGCTACAGTAATTGTTCAGCAACATCAATTTAAAACATTCCTGTGTCTTGCTCCTCAGCAGTTCCTTCCCACTTCCAATGTGGAGTATTTACAATCATATGGTGGTGGGCTTTGCTATAAACAGTATCAAAGTCAAGATCTCTGAATGGAAGATTTAAAAACCTCAGGACTCTGGCCAAGTTTAGATTGCAGCCCTTGACCTCCCAAACAAAGGCTGGTAGCACATTTTTCAATATGACTGGATGAGCAGGAGCACTTTAGTCTAGTATTGTTCAACTATAACACCTCACATTTGTTCTTAATGGATTTCAGTCCATTTCTCTAATTTGTCAGGACAATTTTGAAGGTAGAGTTATTGCCATACATACCGAGTTGTGAAGCTACAGCAATAGGAAGAAGCAATCATTTCAGCAATTTTTTTAAAGGCAACAGACATTACCAAAGTTCAGTGCAGTCAATAATGCCAACTTCTGTGGAAAAAACCCTACTGCTACCCTGAAACATACCAGCATAAAGCCAGGTAGAAAACCATAAAGTTTCTAGTTAGCGCTGCTAGGGCCCCAGTTAAGATAGCGGGTCTACATTCACATGCTCCACTTCAAGAAGTGGACCAACTAGAAAGAATCCAGAGGGCATCAACAACAGAGCAGAAGTCTAAAACCCATGTGGAACGACTGAACAAACTGAAGTTACTTAGTTTACAGGGGAATGAGAACATTCTTCAACTAACTTCCAGACAAAAGATGGGAAAACTTATTTTCACCTCCCCAGATGAAAAGATGTACATTAAAGATTAAACATGCATTGAACACTGGGGAGAAAATATTTTCCAATGTTACATCCAGTAAAGCGTTGTGAAAGATTGCCTAAGGAGAGCGGAAAGGCTCCCTGATGAGGTTTACGAGAATGACTTTCTATTTGTCCTTTCGGCCTTGGAACTGAAAAGTGAACTAGATGGTCTTCCAAGTTATATGATTTTTTATTTATTCTGTCCTCTTTCTAAATACAGATAATGTATTTCTGTAAATGTTTTCTCAATTCCACATTCTAAAGAAGGACACAGCTTGATCACAGGACCGCGACCTATAGACTCAAGGATCAGAGTGACTTCATGCTACCGGGGTCAGGTTGGGTTATAAGCATGCAGGACAGCAACTGCATTCATTGCCTATCTGCAGGCTACAGTACAGCGAGACAGTGGGCCAGTTCATAATAATACTTACTTCTCTGCTGCATGACATATTGTGCCACATGTGTCAGCCATATCATCGACAAGAATCGCTACTCTGTCTTTCACGTCACCAACCAAGACCATTCTGTCCACTTCATTTGCCTTCTTTCTCTCCTTATGAATGAGAGCAAATTCCACATTCAGTCTGTCAGCAATTGAAGTAACCCTAAGTTACAGGAAGAAACACAGAACATTTAGAGGATTATTTTAAAAGAAAGAACAGAGCGATACATGTGTATGTCACAAAACACAGTTTTTGTATTTCCTGGCTTTCAAATTACTGCAGCACAAACTTTTACAAGTAATGAGACAGGTTAGAAACAATCTTAATTCACTGCTAATAAATACAGCCAGGGAGTCTCAAGTTATACTCCAGAAATTGTGTTGGGTTTTTTTTTTTTTTAATTGAATTGACTTTGGTTTTCTGTCATTAAATGCCTGGCTTTGAAACCATTTCAGCTATTCACAAGCTTTTATTAAGCTGCTGCAATACCTAGTCACACTAGATAATTTAAAGTAGAGGTAGCGTCTATTCTACGCCTAGAGCAGCATGCCCTTTAACATCCTAACTGAAAATACCATTGCAGGAATGTGAAACCAAACCAAAGGGGAAAACCAAACAAGTAAGTTAATAGTGATTAATAATTCTTTTAGCAGTACTTGACTAGTAACAAAGTAGCTTACTTCATTAGTAATTCCCTTAGCATACATCTCCTTGACAAAGATCTTTTAATACTATTCAGGGTGACCTCAGGTGGCCAGACAAACTTCCAACAACGAACTTAACTTGTTACAGACTTCTGATTGCTCTTTTTCAGTTTTTTTTAATATACCAGGGCTGGTAGGTATAAAGACACAGGAATAAACAATACCGTGCTTTTTCCATGCTGGCAAAACCTTGTAGCCAGTCTTTTTAGAATACCTTTAGAATGTTGTTAACAAGGTTATTAACACGTACAGTTAATAGAGAATACATTTTTGCTTCTTTACCACTTAAATATGAAGGAGTTGCTAGTTACTGTATTTCAAAACTGGGTGATAAACAAAAAACCCAAATGTTTTGTTTTGTGAATAATAGTGCAATTTCATAGCAAGTCTCAATACCTCAGAGGCATTATGATATCAATAGAATTTGCATGCCTTATTTTAGTCAAAAGTTAATAAGCTGGGAAAAAAACCAAGCAAATGGTAAGAAACAAAAAAAGAATTCAGGTATTTTAAATGAGTGCAAGAACATTTTTTTTTTTTAATTTCTTTAATGCTTACAGATTTAAATTTTAAGACAAACTTTCTTCACATTCTATTCAGTTTTCATTAACCCAAATATTATTTTGAAGGTCTACATGTTTTAAATGGAAGGAACAGATTATTTTCTTTACATGACATTACTGAAGGCAAAGGACAAGCTGTGAATTTATTGAAAGCAACATCTTCTCCTACTTCACCAGGAACTGCTTGGTTGCATTACAACAGAAAGGTACCAAAGATAAATTCTGTCTATCTATGTTAAATACAGTGAGAGTGGTCCTCAAAAAATAAACTCTTATGATCAACTTGATAATATACAAATATTTGGTAGGGGAAAAAATGCTGTCTTCTGACTTGAATTCTAAGCAAAGGCTGTATTTTGTTCAAATATCCAGATAGGAACAAAGAAATTTATTTGACCGAGTCATCTGAATTTTAGAATGTTTTCTATAGTTTATATTCTTCACATTTTTAACTTGATTAATTTAAACAGGAACAACTATAGAGTTCTAATCAGTCTTATTTCCCTATTAGTTATTACAACATGAACAGTCACAACAGACTCAAGTACTTCAATTAAAATCAAATTATGACAGTCTTTCACATTTTTCCCCATACCACATTCAAAATACTTAAATTACTATGAGTTTATAAGATTCTGACTTCATTTTTCTCTGTTCCCATTTAGTTTTGTAGCAGCCGCATGACTAATAAAACTTGAGAATAAGCATTTTGCCTCAATGGCATGCTTTATCACCTCAACAGCCAGTGTGCTTCCGAGCTTTTGCATTAGTTTATCCTCAATAGATACCAAATAAAAGATATTCTGCTAAACGAGTAACGCATGCAGCAAAGAAAGAAACACTCCAATGAATGAACTTTTCTATTTTCACCTTTTGCCACTCAAAACAAAAACTTCACTCCCTTTTTCTAGTATTCACAGTGCACAACTTGGGGTCCATAGATTCACAGTTGGAATGCAATAACGTAAAGAAAAAAGAAACACGACTCAAGGAAGCTCTTACCTAAATGCCAGCACGTACAGTGGGGAGAGGCCATATGCTTTGATAGAGAAGGGAAACTTAGGCAATTCCAGAGCGAAGCAGGAAGAGGTGCAGCAACTGGACTAAAGCAGCAAGCAGCAGGAAAAATCTCTTCCCTCCTGCGGAGGGATTCAGCTAATGAGGCCATATCCAGGGAGAGAGAAAAAGATTTTCTTTAGAGTGTAGAAAGCTCCTGGATGTTTTCAAGCATGAACAACACTGGAAGAACTAGTTGCTCTGTTTCTGCAGTGCAGTTGGATTCATCAGTGATGCACCCTATATCTTGCACAATTCATAGAAGAAAAAAGAAGACTAGACAAACTAGTTCATTAACCACTAGTTCGTTAAGCACTAACTATATGGAAAACTAATAGTTTCAGGCTTGTATAGTACCTTTTTGCACCACCTGCATCAGGTGAGACTATGATACAGTTTCTCCACTCCAAAATGTTCTCTTTAATCCACTGCAGCACTGCAGGTTCTGCATACAGGTTATCTACTGGAATGTCAAAGAAACCCTAGTCCGAAAGAGAAAAAAAGTTTCATGAATATACGTTTACGTCTTACCAGGAACGAAGACACAGTGAAAGAATCAAGCCTTTGCCTTTCACGTATGGTAGAACTTTAATTAGTATTTTACACTGGCCTAATTCTGCCCTTTGATATTACTATGAAATACAGCAGAAGTTAGCAAATATTAAGGTCTCTAAGTATCTCACTCAAGAGTAGTAAAATAAAGAACAGTTGTTCTCAAATGATATAAAAATCAGAAAACAAGATCCCCTTCAGGCACTCAAGTACATTTGCGCTTGTGAAAAAGCTGTCAAAAAAGCCAGTGAGTAATACTCAACTTCCATAAACTTCAACTGCTTGATATGAACAGTAGTATTTCAATATGGGGAAGATTCAAGTGAGTATTACTTCAGCAGCAGAAATGGAGTCTTTCTTTTTGTGCAAGTTGTAACAACAAGAAATCTGTGTTAGACCACAAATGAAACTGCTTTTTATTTGCGTGACAGCCATCTAGCGTAATAGGAAATTCTGATTAAACAGAATACCAGAACTGGAAGAGAAGGTATTTTCTAGAAAAAACAAGGTATCTTGAAAAGGAGGTACACATGAGAATGACAAACGATGTCCGCTCTGTGTCTGAGGAAAGAGTTTTGTGATTTGCTGGATTCAGGAGTAAGCCAGCTAAGGGTTGCCAGCCTCCATCTCCACTTCTCTTAAGAGAACATTGTTCTCTTAGCTGTAAGAACAAAACTCTACCTAGGGCAGTACTATAATCTCTGACCAGGCCAAGGTTAAGAGAAGTTGCCCTGAACCAATATATTTTATGCTGTGGGAGCTCTTACACTAGACTTGGCAAATTCCACTGAAGACTCCAATGCACAAGTATTTGAAGTGCCTGCAAAATCACCCCATAAAATCAAGGCTGGTCTCTTTCAAAAAGGGAATTTAATTAGAAACAGGTAGTAAGACTTTCTCTGAACCCTGAGAATTACACTTCTGTACACAGCCTTTCAAAACAATGGGGAAAAAAATCCCAGAATTAATATTAGCCTTTCATGTTAATTCAGTAGCCACATTTAGTAAGAACTGACAGTTACCTGGATCTGAGAAGCATGCAAGTCCATGGTGATGATGTGGTCAGCCCCCGCAACCGACAGCATGTTGGCAACAAGTTTTGCAGAGATTGGAGCACGACTCTGAGGAATAAAGCACAAATGTTAAATTTTAAAACGATTTTGACTAGATGCAAGGAGTCAGAAGATTAGCTACTTTTACGGCTTTTTCCTTTAGAATATTTGGAATCTAGATCTGAAGAGCTCCCTAACTTTAGGTAAACTAGCTTGTCCATAGCTTATCTGGCTACTAGGGGTTTGAAACTCAGCAAAACATTTAGGAATATCTAAATCAGTTTGCACAGTCTGCCTAAGAATGCTTTGTAGTAATTAGACTGACTAACAAGCAGATAAAATTGAGGATATAATTTTCCAATTCTTCTATTTAAAACTTTCAGCTAGTTTTTCTATAGCAGAAAGACAATCTCCATTTCTCTAAGCCACTACCCTACATTAACATCCAACACTCAAGCCACTATCCTGTTCTAAAAAAACATTGCCAAAATCAAAGATTGAAGGCAGAGTGAGCCCAACTTTTGAAAATATTGCTTTAAAACAAAGTTAGTATCAAGTATTTCTTCATAATATCGTAAAGCTTGTAACAGATCTATGTTGGCAGGGATCCTCTACCCCAGCCCATTTATTTATTCTTTTTTGTTAATTTAAGGCTTAATTGTTGAATGCAATCAGGAATCTAGAATTCCCAAAAGGGACAGGGGGATGAAAAAAAAAAATAAACAGAGAAGTGGAAAGGAAAAAAGAGCAGCAGAAAATCTAATTAGCAGAGTTAATGCCAATGTCAAAAGCTTTTAAAAAAAGTGACAAGGATACAGAACAAACAGCAACATAAAAAAAGAGAGAAGATGGTAAATCATGACTGGAGGATACCTCACTTTTTTTTTTTTTAGCAACTCCAAAGGTTTTTTTTCAGATTTTTAAGCTCTGAAAAAAAGCTATGTTGCCCTAGACAGCTTTCTCTAACAGAAATACTGAACAAAACCTCCTGTTTTGTTTTTGTCAATCTTTAAATAAGGCTAATAGCTGGCAATAACATTAGCATGAAGGCAGACCTGCAATTCAGAGGTTCCATCTCACTATCAGGCTCTGTTTTTTCCTGGCAGTGTATTCTCTCCTGCTACATCTCTTTATCAGCCAGCCTCGTTTAGCCTCCTAGGAACCCCCTCTCCCTCCACCCCATACACACCATTACAGAGTCTCTCTGCTCTCCTTCCACTGGTGCTCAAGGGCATAACCCAAAATAAGCTGAACCACTGCCAAATTAACCTGGATGCTTTTCTGTCTGTGCCATATCAAGGAGCCAGTATTTTCCTCAGAACTTGTGCTAATTTAGGTGGAAACTCGGCATTTCTGTGTTTTAACCCACAGATTGCCAACATACTTCCAGAAAAGAAACTGAGATATTACAGTCTTTCTTATGGCTGGATCAAGTTTATCACCATCATTACAGAAATTCTTCATTTTGGAAACCATCCCTTTTGGTTTTTGTGTTTCACAGAGTATCACACCATTTGGTCTGTGCAGGATACATATATGCAACAGCTAGCACTTCCCCAGATCTCTGCAATTGAGCATAGAGCTTCCATAAGAGGTTGCTATCATTAGAGCTTCAGCACAGCTGAATTTCCAGTTACTGAGGACTATGCTGCTCTTCATTTAAGTTTAGTTCTGTAAGGACCAAGTTGGCCAAAGCTTTCTGGATATTCCTATTATTAGTAGTAAACATTTGGTTCATGCCATGTAAATTCCTCATCACTTCAGCTCATCTTAGCAGTACAAATGGACATCTTTAAGCTGGGCTTCAAAATATTCTCAAATCTCCAGCAACATCTAAGAAAACAAAGATTTAGTTTCTACTCCTTTGACTCTATCACAATGTTCTCTTATCAGCCCTTTGCAAAGATCTGTTTTGATGTGACAGATAAGCTGAACTAACGGGTGATGCTGAAACCAGAGGTTTGCTCCCCTGTTTGTCCAATCCCTTCTTCTGAGGCTTTACACTCCCACCACTTCCCTTGTGCTGCACACCAGGACTTGTCTGAACCCACAGCAGCCAGATGACGCAGTGCAAATGGAAGAAAAGGGAGAAGATGGCAGCAAACCAGGACCACCCACTCTGGCAGAAACGAGTATCTAGCTCAGGCTAACTGCTAAACGCAAATTACATTCTTCCCAGAACGTGGTCTGCCATTTCCACTACATCTGGCATAATGAATTTTGCTTTTACTTTTTTTCATTTCTGTTCAATGTGAATGCCACTTAGTTTATCTCATGTATCGATATCATGAGTATCATCATCACAAAAAAACCCACACCCAAAATACTTTCCTGCATCCAATACTAACGTATACGTTACCAGTTGCTACTTCTTTCAGCTGCTGGCCTTGCAGGCTGCCTTCCCAGAAGGAAGAACTTGAAGGTTTTATGACTAGGTAACTTACTCTAGCAGACATGCGCACATCACAGATTGCCTACGTGTTGGTGGACAGAGGGTCTTGGAAGGAAAGATAGCCAGACACCAATACCTGTTTCTCAAGAACGGGCTAATAGGAGATTAAGACAAATGAAGTTTACAGCTATCTGACAGTTTCCTTTACACAAAACTGTGCATTAAAAGAAGACACACATGACATGTTCAAAAGGATTTAAGACTTGATTGCTTGCATAGAAAATAAGTTTTGTGCTACAATATGATCCAAATTGAAGATTATTTTAAAATCAAAGGAAGTATATTCATAGGAACCTCAGATAACCTCGCCTCATTATTCAGAAACTTGGATGACAAAGATAGATGCGAACTCAAGATATTCTTTATCTTGGAGTTTGTAAGGTTTGCTTCTGATCAGAGAGGCAAGAACACAAAGAGATTCACAGTATTCATTGTTCCATTCTTTGACACAATTTGAGATTAGTTTCAGAATTATTAGTGTGAAACGCAACATTACATTATGTACAGAAACTAAATTGTAAAAAAAAATAAATCACTGAGTTTTTGGGTCCTAAGTAAACTCCCTGCTTACATATAACAAGTTACATAAATGATTTCTTCCTTTGTGATGCATTCCAAATTTATTCACAATTCTTAAAATTACCAGGGGTGGGGGGGATCCACAAAGCTAACATAAACCTCACAAGAGTAACTGTGCAAAGGACACATAGCTGAAAGTAAAAGTTGTCCATCAAGATTAAAGCTCTGTTGCCTTTAAGCAGCTTATTACATTGTCTTGCTCAAAATGCATCACGTGCATACTGAACAAAAAAAAATAAAATAAAAAAACCCAAGAAACCCCAAAGATTTATAACTGGAACTTTCACTTCCAAGAAAGCCAGTTGTGAAGTGTATGGATACTGAATGTTCAGTAACATATTACCTCAATTTGTCATTTCAAAAATGAGATATGCTTTGAAGCTTCAGAAGTTGACAGCCATTATCTTGAATGTCCAGATAAAATTTTAACTGGAAGCTAGGAGCTTTCTAGTAGCAAATTATTCCCCAGGATTACTGTCATGGCCTAGGTGAAACACAACCGAAATCAAGAAGTGAAACTGAAAATGTTCCTAGATATACATAATGTAACCCAGTAAATTTCACCCTTTAAGGCCATATTAATGGAAATGCATAGTGTTAGATTTTAAAAAAAAAAAAAAAAAAAAAAAAAGGATACCTACCCAACGCTCCACGGACCCCTTCTACAAATCAAAAAAACAAAGTTACATGAGCTGTAGAACACCAAACTCACCTGTCACTCTACATCTAACTTATCTCAAAGGTATCTCTGCAGCATCCTATATAAATGTGTCCTGCCCAGGGCTTGGAAGGTTAGTATAATTAGAGGATGCATAAATGCAACTATGGCCAAAGCACAGATACACCTGTGCTAATGTTAAATTAGCTAGCTTGTGTACCAGAAGTATTCTAGTTTATAGCAGCACTTGATTGTGTCTAAATTAATTTACCAACTTTTCTACAATTCTCAGCAAGCCTTTTATTTTTTCTCCAAACCTCTGTTTCTCATTTACAGCTAGTCCAGGTTTAATGCTAAAATTTCCAGAGTAGATTACATAGGCCTTGTTCAGAATATGGTATTTTACTGCAAGGCCCTTCCCTTAAAGAAAGAAATAAAGAGCACTTTCATTGTTCTCAGCGATCATAGCTGTAACAGAGGCATGGAGAATACAGGGTTATTTCAAGCAGCAAGGACTCAGTCTATTTAGTTCTTTATGGATTAAAGTCAACAACTTAAATTCAAACCAGAAAACAGCATCCAGCTAGTAAAGATTATACTGCTTCAGTTCATAGTCAAGCAAACTACAGCAATATCTTTCACCAGAGAGAAGAAAATTTGTGTATAACCATAGGAAGAAAATGGCTGGCACTTTCCTGACACTTCAGGCAGCATACAAAGCTTGTGCACTCAACATGGGTCAAAGACCAAGTGATGTGATGCAATCCAACAGCGGGAGGAAAGATCTCCCTATCAATAAGCTGTCCAATGTTGACAGCTATATTATAGCTTATTTTGCAACATGGAGGTCAACTACCAAGGTTAACTTCCAAAGATGGCAAACATTTTCTCAATTGCAAAACAGGCATAAAAAAAAAAGAAAAAAAGAAATGGCTTGCCTAGAATTGCAGGAGAACTCAGTGACACCCAGAGAACAGTCTGGAACCATGCTCAAAATTTCTGTTAATCAAAATCACAAAATGCTCCTGAGTGACATGCTGGGCCACCACACTGTGGGTTTTAAGTGTCTCTCAGAAGTCTGCCGCATGGATTTTGGGTACCCTTGACAAGGCATAACCCAGACGCATGGAAAACTTGGGACATACTCATTCTTCTCCCACACCAAGAACTTACAGGATGGTCCAGTAGAATCTTCCAATATGAATTTGGAAATTAAAACATGAGATGCTTTCCTTCCTTTTCAACAAAACGTTTATCGCTCTTTTGATAAAAAGTATTTCAACTTTCCTGATTAAGGGAGAACATTATTCAATACAAAATGCAGCAAAAATGAAGTTCCAAAAGATGTGTGCAAAGTATGGGGAGCTACTATCTAACTCCTGAATTCTGTTTTTGGAATTATAACAAGTGGGTCTTGGTAATATCAGTATGGTGTTAGAGAGCCTGCACTTAAAGAATGAGTATACCAGAAAATAACTTTTTTGTATTTAGTTTTGTTCTCAGACATCACAGGCTGAGCATTACATATTTTGTAATATCAGCTATTATTTTTAGCTTCTGCATTACTTCTCAGTCCTGTTATGTTTTTATATAAAAGAACGTAAAGAACAGAAAGCTTTCAGGATGGTTTGCTTCATGCCCAAAGTGAAAGGGAAGGGGCAGTCCATTTATGGGAAGTATCAGACGGGGGCAATTTTCCAAAAAGACAACCATTGCAATCCAATCTTAAAAGCCAAATTCACATTTATTCTTGTTAGTCCTTTTCGAGTGAGTTTAGGTAAAAGTAACATTCACATAACACATTAGAAGTGTTTTTGTATATATAGTAGAGACGGCAAAGTTTAGCTCTGTATTTTTTAAAATCAAACTCACTTGCCACAGAGAGTTTGTTACTGTGTTACCAACTTGGCTGAACTGCTATATTCATCAGTTATTGCAGACCAAATTCAGGAAAGAGGCACTAAGATCAGAAGAGTATTTATGGGGTTTCCATACAATTTTTGGTCTGCATCAATTAAAATAATTATTACAGATATATAAAACATTTTTTATCTGCCCTGCAGCATAAATTAATGTTTTTATTAATTACTGCTACGCATGGCAGATTTAATCAGTTCCTTCCAATTGGCTCTCAGTTTAACCATATAGGGTAAAACCCACCTACATAATCGTTACAGCACTTCAAATTCAGGATTTAATTCCATGCAATTAAAATTTTTAAAAGGGTGTACTTTCTTCATATATAGAGGTGTAAAAAAAAAAAAAAAAAAAAAAAGTAGGAAAAGCAGAAAAACAGTCCCATAAGGTGAGGTTTGCTAGCAGAGTACTCTGCAATATACCACACACATAGGATGTACCTACTTTTTCAAACTGAAGGCATGTCAATTATCAAAACAGAAGCAAAAAATAATTTATTGTCTCATTTGAGTCACAATTCACCTATAGATGAAATAATTGAACGTTTTACCAAAAAAGGATGAAAAACAAAAAAGCAAATCTTTCAAATCACTTAAATGTTTATGAAAATATGTTTCATCTCCAAAAATTTCAAGTGAAGAAGATGCAAAAAACCTTCCATAATTACACAGTTTTTACCTACCTTGTCTTTCTTATCTTGCCTGGCATATGGAAAACATGGAATTACAGCAGTCACTCTGGAGGATGATGCAATCTTGCAAGCATTGATCATGATGAGCAGTTCCATTAAGTTGTCATTTATTTCTCCACAGCCACTCTGGATGATATACACATCTTCTCCTCTCACACTTTCACCAATCTCTACACTGAAAGAACAGGAGATGACCATTTAAACACTTGAATTGCTGCAAAAGTATTATTAAAGAATAAACAGGTTTGTTTTAACAAACTTTCATGGGTTTATCCCCATTATAGTAACATTTTTTTTTTTACAGTGATTTGGATAACTGTCCTCTTGATACAAAGTCTATTTCAATGTAAGCCAGTCTAAAATTTACTTCAGCCTAAATACGGTCTTCATAAGGTCAGCACCAATCAACATGTAACTATGGCTATAGCACTGACGCAGCTACGTGGTTATTGAATTTGATACTGCTTTTTTTGGTCTAATCTGTATATTCTGTATCCTTGCCTTCTCCAGAGGAGATGACCATTTAAAGAATAACCTGGATAAGTACAGAAACAATAGAGCAAACTTTAGAGCATTAAATACTATCTGCATCAAAATACTTCATTAAAATGGACAATTATTTTCATATGATAGTTAAGATGTTACTAAATTTGAGAAACTACTGCATTTTGGAAGACAGAAGTATTAAACCACACCTCAAAACCAGAAGTCTGGTTAAAATTTACACCATGATGTCCAAGTAAAGTAGTTTTTTAAAAAGAAAATCTTAGTGAAAAGCTAAGAGGGCTGCTCATCAACAGCTTGCCATGGCTCAACAACTCTCAAATTGTATCAGTTATTCTATTTCCTCTAGTTGTGCTTGCATACTTTTGTTCCTTATGATAGTATCTAAGAGTTCTTTTATTCTTCCACAAATTTCAAGGCAAATTCTAGCACTGATCATCGCTCACACCACAGAATTCAAGAATTAAATAGAATTTATAAATATACAAGAAAATTAAAAGAAATCAGTTGAATGTAGATTCTGTTTCAATTCTAGATCCAAGCAAGAGACATCTACTCTTGAACCACACTAACTTTTCACACCTGCTACTCCAAAAGTTAGACATAAGAACAGCAGACTAACCTTCATTTTTCCCTGATTCCATGCACAACGTACAAGAAATACAGACTTCCTAAAAAATGAGGCGATCGGATCTTTCAAACCCATGCTCTACTACGTTAGTCTTAATCATTAAACACTGAAATATCTTCGGCCCTTATTTAAAAGGTTGCATCTTTACCCAAGACACAAATAAGCAAAAGCTTCTAGCTAGAAACCATTCAGATGGCCCAGATGTGGGTAGAACAATTTCCTCTTCAATGCTGAGGCTTGTTCTAGTCACACACAGTCTGAACAACCTTCATTTATCAGCTTTCAGCGTGCTGTGTAAGACTTATTAGCTTTCTGTAGCTACAAAACACAAAAAGGAATTTACTGCTTAAAAAACATGTTAATGATATGCAAACATTTGATTTATTACCATCAAGATGGTTGAGTTCATGCTCTCAGCTCCCCTATTCAACTCCTCTGCAGTCCCAAACAAGCTATAAGAAGATCGTGTCTTAATTTTTCTCCTTAATTGTATACATTTTTTGCCTAAGAATGCTACCAGCAGGATTTCTTAAGGCCAAAAGAAAGCAAACCATCTAACAAACACCAGGATCTCTGGAAGGACAGAGGTGGTCAGGGACAGAGTCAACTGCAGATATGTCACTGTTAATCCAGGAATCCTTTTGGAAGCTTTCGTCATGGCACAAAGACACAATTTTTTAGTCATAAAACTTACTTCCCTGTCCAAGTTTTTGATCAACTCAATAGGGTTGTTCAGAGGAAACTGTTTTGATAAAAATATTTTCTTTGGTTTTCGAGCTGAAAAAGTTTTGGTCAACATCACTTAAGTTCAGGAAGACATTAAGTATATTCCATAATTGGACGAACTGGTCAGGTTTAATTAGAAACCCTACCAAAACCAGTTCTAGTGTTAGAATATCAGAGTTCCACTTCCTAGAAGAATAAACAAAACCAAATAAATAAATAAATAGAGAAACTGATCATTGCTTCTGAACACACAAATCCAGCTCCAAGTAAAGCATCTACCCACTAGCTTATGGAAGCAGCCTCAACCATCGTTATAGATTCGGGGTTATTATATGAGGGCTCAGAAAAATTATAGTCACCGCTTGACTCTGCACTTACACAGACCTGCTTAATAACAAGTGTTGTCACATGCCACACTTTTGGAACACCACCACATACAAAAGCTCCATGGCACCCCTTTCAACCCAAGACTGAAGTTACACGCCGGTTCTGGAAATCAACCTAGGAGCCATTACAAAGGACAAGAAAGCAGAAAAAGACTATGAAGAAAACACCGCCAGTTTTCCGGGGAGAATGTTACTGGAGTGACAAAAGAGGGCAGAATAAGATTTTAGTACCTGGGGGGAAAAAAAGTAACCACTAGTTTCATAGACACAGGAAAAAGTTCTGCTGAATGACAAAAATACATGATCTTAGTGTTCATTATATACACAAAGAACGGGAGTTCCTTTGCTCCTTTAAAAAACAGTCATTTCTAAGCATACCGCTAAGAAATAACAGGTTTCAGAAGGTCAGGCAATATACTTTGAGATAAATATAGATCTGGTTAAAACAATGGACCTGAAGTGATGCTTCTTCCATTGCCAGTAACTACTATCTTCTCTTCAATGACCTTGGGCTAGCAATATCTTTTTCATCTTCTAAACAACATAGAAAACAAATCTACTACTACTTTCTCTCTTGCTGCATTTGAAAAAAAATTTGGTTATGCTTTTCAGGCCAGAATGACATACTTATTTGGCACACAGAAATGTGAATATATGTGTATATGTATATAGAAATAACTTGTGTGTCCACTAGAAAAGGTATATGCAGACTAAAATAAATCAAGATTAATACTTGCATAGCACTCAGGAGTAACCCAGCTAAATGTGCCAGAGAATAGCATAATGTAATTATTGCACAAAGATCTCCCAGTCAACTGGACAGCTCTGCAGCAGATCAGTATCTCTTATTAAAGATTGGTTTTGAGAGGTATTGCGTAGACTCAGCCAACAGATACACAGTTACCTATTTTACCTTCATCGAGCCACATAGTGAAAGATAAAAAACAACTAAAAGTCATTGTGTCGCAAGTATTCCATCAGACATAGCCTGTAGTAGCCACATTGGGTTTTTTGGGGGTGGGTGCTTTTGTTGTTGTTGGGTTTTTTGTGTGTGTTTTATTTTTTTGGGGGGGGGAGTGGCAGTTTGAATTTTTTTTTTCTTTAAATACATTCAGCTATGAACGTGCCAATAATAAGAGACTATAAACTATTAGTATCAGATATCTGAAATATTGTACCTCAAATATCTATTAGAGAACACTAAGCTAACAGCAGTCAAACTTTGTGACAGTTACCTTATTAACATTACTACTAAATTCCACTTAGATCATCTATATCGTGACCTAATTAACTGTTTTGGAGGTTATTTAAACAATTTCACATAGCGAGGACACAGAGGAAGGACACAAGAACAAGCTCTTGCCTCAAGATTACAAGCTTTATTTGTTTTATGCAATTTAATCAAATTCAGCTATTTCGTAACGCTCAGTTTAAATAAACTTCTAGTTCAAGAAGAGTCAACAGAACCTGTACATTAAAAGCCCTGACAGCACACAATTGTGTTTTAAAGTAAAAATTAGAGAAATTAATAGCTCGCAAAAGTAATTAACTTCATTTGAGCCAGTTGCTTGGAATCCACAAGCACAAGGCTGTAGCTGGGAAAGGTACACATAAGACAGGACATGATGAAAAACAAGCTTGAGCGTTGGTATCTGCCTTCATCTTGCAAAGGCTGATTTGAGAGTTCAATTTAATAAGTAGAAACTTGGATAGACTAATTACCATGAATTAAGGATAAGGCTCAAAACCCACTTATGTTACAAACATATTTCAATGGCTGAGGCATCCATTAAGCAAATTCAAAATCAGGAGTTAACAGCAGGCTGAGCTCCTTCTGAGCCAGATTTGTAGTACACTCCCAACGGAACTTACAGCAATGGGAATTTTAAATTTGTACATCCTAACCAAAAAACACAGTTGTGGGGAAACAGGGGAGTAAATATGCAGAGCCAGACTAAAATTGTAAATAGTCTAAATCCGTAACTAGGATCCTGTTCAAATCATGCACTTAAAAGGGCTCTATGTACCTTTTTAAATAATGACAACGGATAAATTTTCTGGCCACGCTTTCAAGTAGTAAGATTTCTCAAGTACTTTAGGTGCCAATAAAGTAGATGTGTACTTCAGGCATCTTTAATAACCAGAGAAGAGGCCAAAATTTAAGGTCTAGAGTCTTCATACAGTGTGTGATAAGAATCAATATCTCAAAAGTGATAAAAAAATGCACATGCTGAATTTGCAATTCATTGAAACCCAGCCAATGGAAAGCACTAAGCAGAGGGGTGTGTTTGACCTCTTTCCTTTGGGAACACATTTTGCAGAGTAAAGTCTTTTAACGCAAGACCTCCAACTTAATGGGGAAATATTTTGACTGCTGTGATGTTATAGAACAAAGCGGGTACCAGCAAAGCCCAAAGCAACAAAGAAACAATAAAAATGCCAGGGTTGATTTTAAGTCTATAGGTATCCCATATCTCCTGGCACCCATGGTCTCCCCTTAACTCTACACTCTTCCACTTTGACTACCGGCTCCAAGCCAAGCCCCACCTAGTTCTTCATTGACAAGTGCCCTGTCCCAGGGGCGGGCACTGGCATGGTAAGCACCACAAGATGGGAAATACCTTCTTACCCTCCAGTCAGGCACACAGCCAGCCACCACAAGAGGAAAACACCTTCACTTGAGCCGCTCTGGGTTGAGCCATGCGCAGTCTGAAAGGAACCCTCAGAAATTAGAAAGCAAAGGTCTAACAAACATGGGCACAAGCAGAGAGTCTTCAAAGGCTGAGTACGAAACTCCGCAGCTAAGGACATGTAGGAACATCAGCCATTATTTACACGGGTTGTTTTTTGTTTTTAAATTTCAGGCATTTAGCATCTACTTAAAGATATGAAGTGCACAGTATACAGCACGGTCAATAAAGTGGA